CCCGACCTAATTAAGACTCCTTTATCTTCATACTTGTAAAGATTAGTTCATTAGCCTATTTTTTATATTCCAGTCCAGTTCATAGATTAAAATGTACCCAAAACAGTACAAACAGTAAAATTTATGTTTTGGGTAATTAAAAACTGAAAAAAACAGACTTAAAAGTCGATTCCATTCTTAATATAGTTCATTTTAATGATAGCAACTGCAACATGTTATATTATTAATTTTATTGGATTAGATAAGATTAATTTATTAGATTATTAGATTTATAAAGTATTACAGAGTAACCGTTAATTTTGCTAGCTGGATCCAATAATTTTAATTAATTGCATGAAATAACTCAGTAGATGTAAAAAAATGGATAAATATAAAATCATTTCAATCAAATATATGTATATAATATATTTCCACCACTTTATTACATTATATTTACGGTTATTTACGATAAAAACACCACAAAAAAATAACAAATTATTCCAATATATTATTTTTTGTGTGCAAGCGCCCTTAAGGACATTATAGCTATATTATATCATTATTATTTATTAGAGAGGCGTCCTTTGATAAATACATGGTAAATAGAGTAGGGGATGCCAATTTGGCAAAGTAGTCCGACCTTATCTTTCTTGGTTGACGTGTTGATCAATAGGGGGTGCATACATAAAAATCGGGCGGATGTTGACGGGGAAAAAACGACCGCTATAAAACATGCAATCAAAAGAGAGATTAGGTGAATAAAAATGAAAATATTTTTCCTAATCAAAGTTAAATGTGAAAAAAACGTCATTGTGAGTACAAATGTTTATAATATCCATTTACATGAAGGTTCGTTTAAAAGTATGTTTTATTTCGGCATTTATCACCGAAAATCGCGAAAATTATGCAAACATGGACGCAGCAGGATGAATTTCATCAGCGGCGGCTCATACGTACATTTACATAACACATTATCGAGTTAAAAGCGTACAACGGATTCATATTAAACAGTTTGAAAGCGAACGTCAAAACGGCCGCGTTTACTGCAAAATATATACGAACAAAAGTCGAGCAAACTCAGTTTCGGGCGTTTAGAACGGAACAACGGTTCGTGACCGGATGCAAGCCGGAAATAGAGTTCCAGTTTACAGAATTACTTTTGTAGTTTCGTTATCATACCAAAAGTGACTCAGACCGAGTTGAGTTTTGTTATTTGTCGAAGACGGGCAAAAGTTTACGAACAAAGGACGAACTGTAATCGAGACCAAATAAAAATATATGCAAAAACAAAGTTCGTTTTATTGTTTTTATTATGATGATTTCATCGTACATGTTTCTATGACACTAAGTTCTCTAGACACTCGTTTTTATTAAACACTCGCTCGCAAGCTTTGCTCCTGCCTAATAAAACTCATAACTATAATGGTGTTCATAAAACTTGATACATTATATACTATTAAACCAATTGATGTGATATTTTTACTCAAGTTTGCAGATACTAGTTAATAAATGTAAATAAATGGATGCATATAGATCCACATTTTATTGAAAACTATTCGCTTTTCTATGTTAGAGCATCTGTTGAATTTTTATATTTATTGCGATTTAAAAAGCCGAAAATGCAGAAAAGTTGGATCTGAATTGTTCTGTATATTTCTTATCTTTGCTTCGACTTGCTATCGAATCATCCCATTTTTGTGTACGTTAGCTCCCATTCGATAACGAAGATAAAGCTGCAGTTGTCTGGCCAAACAACAAACAAAACATTTATAAATATGGTACCTTTATTTGCAAATACATAGATATCTGTTTTCCACGTGATATTGACTGTATATATTATCACCTATTAAATTTTTTCACAATGTTTATATTTATATTTGTAAGCATATTAAAATCTAAATGCAAATATCTAACAGTAGCTCTTGGACGTCTAGACTACTTAAAATTATTCCAAACAAGTTACGCGGTCCAGAGCGCTGTAATACTTAAATTGCTTTTGTAAATGTTTAGCGAATACTAATTAAACTTAGTAACGCTTTTAAATGTGCCTTCCGTTACAGTTCTATGAAACTAAGCAGGCCTTTAATAAAGACATTGTACGTCCGAATAATCTCATCGTTATGTAGCTAACACTGCCATTGCGTCTGGTACTAGAAATTAGAATTAATGGAAATGAAGGATACAAAAGCTGTTAATTAAAGCATAGACAATTTTAGAAATACACGAAAAATAGCCGAGATCATTACATTTTTATATAAACGATATTTTATAAAACAATAGATAGGTTTTGGGTAAATGCTTAAATATGGTGGTAGGCTTTACAGGGGTATTTTTAAATTGAGTTCCATAACGAAATGCCATTTTTTTAAATTAATTCATGAATATATTTACACAGTGTTTCTTGAAATTGCAGTGTGCTGTTGAAAGAATACCTTGCTCTGATTGGTTTATTGCTTTCTAAAGAGATCATTTTTTGTATATAACACAATAAATGTCCATACAGTGACTGTTTCAAAAACTTTGCATTTAAAAGTGATACATCAACGAGAAAAACTAAATCACAGTGTCTATAAGCGCAAATCCCGAATAATATTCAAATATTCCGCCCCCGTTATATAAAAACCACGGCTGAAACGTACCTGATTTTCTATGTTTCCCTTTGCAACACAACGCGCTCTTTGATTTTAGGTAGGCAGGCAGGTCTTTCCCCGCTTTTTGTTATATGGTAAACGCTTATTTTTCCTCTCACGTTTTTTTTATTTGAGTAATTGAAAATGCACATACAGTCGGTATTGTGGTGTAAGGGGGGCAAGGGACGGAGGAAGGACAGATTTCAAAAGGGGGTCTAATAACATGATACGTATGGAAACACATATGTTCATAGTCACTATGACATAGTGATTAGTACTTTGAACATATCTGTTTTATAATACAGCATATGCTGTTTTAAAATGTGGCAAAATAATAGTATATTATTATACAATACGTAATGCACATAATCTCGAAGATAATTAAATATTTTTTAATATTAAATAAACAAAATCTGACATCTGTCAAATGATTAACATCACTTTTTAACAATTTTCAATATTGCATATTACTTCTTTTAATTTAAAACACAAATGGTTCAAATCACAGTGAATATTGAAATGGGCCTAACAAAGTGAATAATATGTTCATTATTCATGTTATTAGGCAGGAAATTAATAATGTGTATCATTATATACGGAAAAAATATAATACTTTAAATGAAGGAACTTTTTAATGTAACTATCTACCCTCGAAATTTTATTTAAATCTACGTATATTCAACAATATTTTTTTTTAATTTATCTATTAATTAATTATCTTATTGTTTTAAACAAATTTAAAGATTTAAATTTAATAAAAAAAGAAATCTCTTTTAGTATCCCGGTGCATTCGCCATTATTGAAAAATGGTAAAAAATCAGTTTTTTCGTATTTTTTTTACCCTTCTGGAGGTACTTTTATTTTTAAATAACTTTTAACCTGAGCTCCGACGACTTTAAAAAAAATAATAATATATATTTATTAGCATTGCCATAAAATAAAATCTGTATTTTTTTAGTCTTTTATAAATCAGTCACTACATAGGTGTAGGTATTTATTAACTGTTTCATAATGAATACATTCAATGTATTTTATAATAAAACAAAAAAGGTCTTTGATCTAATCTGAATGTCGCATATATGGGTCCCACGGTGCGAAAGACGTACGCTTAGCCTTTGAAACGGCCCTCTGTCGACCGCATGTTCATTTCCAGCATGCTGCTATTTGCTTTTTGTGCTACGTGCTTTTCTCTTCTGGCGGAATTAAAATTACCACCACTGCCGTTTCATTTTCATTCCCGTTCCGGCATCACATGCAAGGGGATTAATTTGAGTCTGCGTGTGTCATATTCCCTTCCAGGACGACAAACGGCAAACGATACTCGTTAGACAGATTAAAATCTCTTTTCCTGTATCGTCGGTGCGGTATTAAAGACGTCCGACGCTGATTGTCTAGACCAGGGCCGTATGGCGATATGGCACTTTACTTTTATCGTTGCCAAAGGAAATGGACAAAGCACTGGTAAATGAAAATCACTAATATTCCTTATTACATCACAAAATTTATTAATTAAAGCAGAGAGGTCAACAATTTATTAAATTAAAAACTAAAAGAGGTATAGTCTGGGTTAAAAGTCATTTATGACTAATTTATTTTAAGAGAGTAACTTTTGAAAATAAACATACATTTTTAATATATATCTATACATATTAAAACAAACATTTTGATATAAAACCCTCTTTAACCACTCGATTAATTACATACTGTAACAATTTCAATTAAAAATTTTGCAATGCAACGCAAATTGACCAATCCCCATTGTCCACTCAAGTGCGTCCTATGCATACATGTTTACAGCATGCACAAGTATACACAAGTATAGACACATCTGGCAGATAATGAGGGCACTTGTATTTTGCGAAGTGGAGAGTATTTAGCGAGGCAGTGGCGCCCCCTATTGTCATTAATTTCGCATTAGTATCGGTGCAATAAACACACTCACATATTGCGCCCATTCCGGAAGGGACACATGGGCGTACTTTGTTTGGGGCGCATTTTTACGGGACGGTGCATATCGGATATGAGTATTATCTACTATGATTAAATGTTTTTTCTGCAATTTTATCGCGGTTATTACCAAATTAAATAAACAAGATTATGATTACTACGTTTTATTGTTCATTTAAATTTATTTAGACTATACTTAATATGTAATTAAAAAATCATATTTATGGCAAAATATTAACTATTATTCAAAATATAATTATTTCTTATAATAATTTTTCTAAATTTCCAATTTTTATTTTTATTACTTATTAGCCAAAATCCAGAATAATAATATGATACACCAAAGTTGATAAATTTATGTATTTATACAATAAAGGACAGAGTGAAATACATATTTTAATAAGGGGAATTACATTACTACATCTAACAAAACAGTATAAATACAACAGGATTAACTTAATAAATTTAGTCGAACGCAAATATCAAAATGCAAACTTTTATAATTCTTGCAATTTTTGTTGTAGCAACTTACACAGCCCAAATTTACGAAGATGAATTGGGTAACAAATTTTATCTTATACCATACAGACAAAAACGGTAAAACTAGTAAAATATCCTCTACCAACATTGGATATACAATTTTTATTTTTTTCAGACAAACTACCGTTGATGTCTCGAAACAGTCAAACGATGGTGTACGGGTGACTTTAGGGCACGAAGGCACTATTGACCTTAGCAACAGTAACAGTCAAATAACAGTAGGAGGTTTTGCTTCAAAACAATTCGACCCTAGCAGTCCGACTACTCTGGGAGGCACCATTGGGTATAAAAATCCAGATACAGGTACCAAAATAAAAAAAAAAAAAAAATTTAAAAGTGTTCAAAAATACAATTGTTGTTCTTTAGGTACCTCTATTGGCTCTACAGTAGCAAAAACCCCCATTCACGGCACAGACGTGTCAGTTCAATTTGGTAAAACCCTTTTTGATCAAGGTGGTGCAACTCTTAAGGCATCCGTAGGTGCTCAGCAGCATATAGGGGGTTTACAAGGAACCCAACATGCAGAACCCAGTGCAAATTTGGAGTTTCAATACGTGCCAAGTGTACATAACATACCTGATTATATTTGTAAGATATCCGCGGATTCTGAGTCATTATGTAACTAATATATATTTTTAAAGACTGTTTTCCTTATTTTTTGAACACCCTGTACAATTAAAAATTATCTCCTAAGAAGCGCTAGCTACTGTTATATACTATTTTTGGACAACCATTATACGCAGACATTTAATAAAATTGCCTTGATTATTTCTATTTTTTGTCAAAAATCCTTTATACAAAGTTTTCATTTGATACTATTCTGAAAGATGCAGGACTCACAGTTTTGAGGCATCCTCCATATCAACCAGACTTAAATCCTACCGATTTTTCTAAATAATTTTTAGTCATGTTTATCAAAATCAAAGAATACTAATATGATATCCCAAAGTTGATAAATTTATGTATTTATACAATAAAGAACAGAGTGAAATACATATTTTGATATGGGGAATTACACTACATATAAAAGAACAGTATAAATAGAACAGGATTAACTTAAGAAATTCAGTCAAATGTGGATATCACAATGCAAACTTTTATAATTCTTGCAATTTTTGTTGTAGCAACATATACAGCTCAAATTTACGAGGATGAATTGGGTAACAAATTTTATCTTATACCATACAGACAAAAAAGGTATTACTAATAAAATATCCTCCACAAACATTGGATATACAATTTTTATTGTTTTCAGGCAAACTACCGTCGATGTTTCCAAACAGTCAAACGATGGTGTACGAGTGACTTTAGGGCACGAAGGCACTATTGACCTTAGCAACAGTAACAGTCAAATAACAGTAAAAGGTTTTGCTTCAAAGCAATTCGACCCTAGCAGTTCGACTACTCTGGGAGGCACCATTGGGTTTAAAAACCCAGATACAGGTACCAAAATCAAAAATTAAAAATATCGAAAAATACAATTTTTGTTTTATAGGTACCTCTGTTTCCTCTACAGTAGCAAAAACTCCCATTCAAGGCACAGACGTGTCAGTTCAATTTGGTAAAACACTTTTTAATCAAGGTGGTGCAACTCTTAAGGCATCCGTAGGTGCTCAGCAACATATAGGGGGTTTACAAGGAACCCAACATGCAGAACCTAGTGCAAATTTGCAGTTCCACTACTTGCCCAGTGGACAAAGCATAACTCAGTTTATGTGTAGATGGACCGGAAGATCTGAGGCATACTGTTTAAACCAATAAATATTTTAATAAAATGTTTTGCCTTTTTTTTAAACACCCTGTAGTTTTACTCATTAATTAGTTAAAGTATATAAAATCCAATCACACGAAATGATTAGGCAACAAAATTTCCAATTTACAGTCAACAACTATTACATCGTGGGTCAAACGTCTATCAACGTATCAACTGGAATCCCCTGATCTGTGAATTACCGTTTCTTCAAAGAATCCAAACAAGTATCAAAAGGAAGACAACATTTTAAATTAAACAGTACAATGAAGATTATAGTATTACAGTTTTATGCTTAGGCTCCTTCTAGTCAATAATATTATTTTATTCAACACCCATTTCATTTCCTCAAACTTTAACCGGTGCACTGATAAAAATGGTATCCTTGTGGCAAAAGAATCCATTCATTTGAAAAATATTGATTTAATTCAAAGAAACTGTATTTATTTTAAATCCGTTTCCCTTCGGATAAGATAATTGCTGCATTTAGGTGTAATTCTCGATTCTTTTGACATTTAATTACTTTAAGGCAAAGTAAAGGCATTTAGACAAAAGAAATCTTCAATTCATGTCTTTCTGTCAAAATTTAATGTTATTGCTAGAAATTCCACGGTTTTGTGCCAAACTACACTGATAAACATGGATTATTTTAGGCAAAAGAATCCATTCATTTGAAAATTATTCTTTTAGTTTAAAGAAAGTTAACTTTTTGCAAATTCTTTGGCATTTGACTAAAATAGGTGATGCATTTAAGGCAAACTCTTGATTCTTTTGGCTAAATCCTGTTTAATAACTTTATTTCAAGAAAAAAGCATTTGTCGGAAATCACTCGGTAATTTGATAGTTCTTGCAACAATGAGTGTCCTTCAGTATCAGTCCACGCGTCGCGTCCACAGTACTTCGTCAAAGGTGTTCATCTCGCGCAAATAAATAACTAGTGTGATACTTTTTCTATGGCTATAAATCAAGATTATTTGTACCATAGTGTTATAGATCGAGATTATGGGTACCATAAAGGAACTGCTTAAACTTTGGGATTATTCATTTATTTCCAAAATTTGGAGGTTTAATTTTATAGGTAATGTATTCTTATTTTTAAAATTTTAATCGATTAGGAATGTAATAAAGAAAAATACATAATTAATAAGCTAAAATCGACTAAAATATAATTATTTCATGCAAATATTATCATTCTGTAAAACGCTTTCTTAGAACAGGAAAATAAAAATGGCTACCTATACCTTCTCGCAAAGATTAAAATTTTGTAAGAAAATAATGCGGTATTTGTCAATATGTTTTAAGACTTTAACACAAAAGCATCATAATATTAAATAAATCCCCGTGCATTTGAGCCAAAACCTACATGTCAGCAAGTCATGTCCTCCATAGATAAAACACACATATATGTAGGTTTTGGCTCAAACCCACTGGGATTAATTCAATATTAGGATGGTTTTGTGTTAAAGTCTTAAAACATATTAACAAATAAGTACTTACGGCATTATTTTCCAAAAAACTTAATCTTTGGGAGGAGAATATATCCTTCTTATTTCTTGAGAGATATCCAGAGGCGGATTTCTAAACAGGCCAGCTAGACCATAGCCTACGGCTGCAAGGTGGAAATTTGGAGTTTAAGAATAATCAGTTTTTTGTATTTTGTATAAACAATGTATTTTATGTTTATGAGTGAAAGAATAATCAGTTTTTTGTATAAACAATGTATTTTATGTTTATGACTTTATAAACAATGTCTTTTATATTTTTAATAAAAATATGTTTTTAGTAAAAATTATTGTAGTTTTTTTTAATTTAGGCAGGCAATTTTCTAAAATCAAAGAGTTTCAGCTAAAGACATTCGGGCTTTGGTTCAAATGCCCATAGATTAAGAGCAAGAAATCCGAGTTTTGATACAAATAACAAAAGTTTTTTAATCAAACGCTTATGGATTTGAAATAAAAACTCGGATTTTGTTACAAAAAATTAAATCACTTAACTTAAATGCCAATAGATTTAAATCTAGACATCCGACTTTTGCTACAAATTCCTAATTCTTTAAGAACAAGAACCTAAGATTTTGTAGTAAGCCCGCTTTCCTTTATTTCAATTTACTTAAGCCTTTGATCCAAATCAGTACCGTGTTATTAATAAAAGCACGGCATTTAAGGACCTATAACGAAGATCTTCTTCTAAATTCATGTTTCTTTGCAACAAAGACAAATCATGAAATGATCTCAAAGAAATGACGTATTTGCTTTAAACCCTTTATTCATTTGGACCTATCCAAAGTCCCCATTCCTTTGAGGGAATGGCAGATTTCCTTGGGGCAAAGGTTTCTTTTTTTCAGTGTGGGCGAAATTTTACTTCTCCCACTAGTGGGAGTTCGGAATAAGTTTAATTTGGAAAAAAGTGGGGTTAAAACTAATTGACAGTCAGATGTCAGATAAATTATCAAATAAAATTGGCTTTAAATTTCTAGGGTTATTCCACAAGCAACTATAGTTGAATAAAATATTTTGTGCACTTAAGAATAATTTTTTTATCAAATTCCTTATCTGTACTTTTTTTATTTGAATAAGACACAAAGTGTTGTGTTGCAACTTTAATTTTAAATATTTTAAAAATGAATAGAACTAAACTATTTTTTATAAGTTATCACTTGCCTACCATGAAATTAAAAATGTAGGGTGCGTCAACTACATTTCTATCTCATTTTTTCAATAAAAGAAAATAAACTAAGAAATTAGGAAATGGAAAAAAATAATTTTCTGTGGTAATGAGGGTTTTATTGAAGAAAAGAGATGCAGATGTACTTGAAAAAATAATTTTTGTGAAAAAACATTAGCTATTTTCAAAATATAGGTAATTATCTACCTATTATTTTTTTATAATAATTTTTCTAAACTGTTGGAGTTAAAAAATTTCACAAGCACAAGTAAGGTATTTCTGATTTCTAATTTTTATGTTTATTACAAACTGTTATCACAAATCACAATCACAAAAAATTGATTTTTAGCCAAAAGAAATGACACAAGATTTTATCCGATATTAATAAAATTCAAATAATGTTAAGCTTAATTCATTTTCTTTAAAACTAGCACTCTTTAAATAAATTATGTGATCAGTAATGAATTTTATTCATGTTTATGTTTTTTACCAAATCTAAGAATAATTATATGACACACCAAAGTTGATAAATACGATAAAGGACAGAGTGAAACACATATTTTGATATGGGGAATTACTATACAGTATATACTACATAATAAAACAGTATAAATAAAACAGAATTAATTTAAGAAATTCAGTCCAACGTAAAGTTAATAATATCAAAATGCAAACTTTTATAATTCTTGCAATTTTTGTTGCAGCAACTCACACAGCCCAAATTTATCAAGATGAATTTGGTAACAAATTTTATCCTATACCATACAGACAAAAAAGGTAATATTAATAGCATATATGCTCTACAAACGTTAGATATACAATTTTTATTTTTTTTTCAGACAAACTAAAGTTGATGTCTCGAAACAGTCAAACGATGGTGTCCGGGTGACTTTAGGGCATGAAGGCACTATTGACCTTAGCAACAGTAACAGTCAAATAACAGTAGAAGGTTTTGCTTCAAAACAATTCGACCCTAGCGGTCCGACTACTCTGGGAGGCACCTTTGGGTATAAAAACCCAGATACAGGTAACAAAATCAAAAATTAAAAATGTCGAAAAATATAATCTTTTTTCTTTAGGTACCTCTCTTTCATCTACAATAGCAAAAACCCCTGTTCAAGGCACAGACGTGTCAGTTCAATTTGGTAAAACCCTTTTTGATCAAGGTGGTGCAACTCTCAAGGCCTCCTTAGGTGCTCAGCAACACTTAGGTGGTTTACAGGGAACCCAACATGTAGAGCCCAGTGCGAATTTGGAGTTTCAATACTTGCCAAACGGCGTAAATAGCATAAATCAGTTAGTTTGTAGGATGACCGGGGGAAGTGAGACATACTGTATGAACCATTAAATATATTTTATAGAATGTTAATTTTTTGCCTTTTTTTGAACATCCTGTATAATTAAAAAAATCCCGAGAAGCGAGAAGTCATTTATTTTTTTATCTAAGGTCAACAACTTTTACTAGATCGTGGGTCAAACGTCTATCACGGTATCCACTGGAATCCCCTGGTCTGTGATTCACCGTTTCTTTCAAGACTCCAAGCGAGTATAAAAGCGGCGACAAAATCATAAATAAAACATACTTATAGACAGTACATTGAAGAAACAATGAAGATCATAGTATTATTGTCAGCTTTATGCTTAGGCTTGGCTTCTAGCCAACAATTTGATTTTGCTGATGATGAATACGATTTTTACTTGGTTCCTGTTTTGAGACACAAAAGGCATAAAACGAGATACTGAAAATGTTAAATGTCTAAAATTATTATTTTACAGAGATGTGACATATGGAGTGCAAGGTGAAGGCACCAAGGCGACAGGTTTCAGCGTGGGCCATGCAGGAGAGTCCAGATTAAATGGAGGACACAGTATAACAGGGGAGGGTTTCGTCGGCAAAACCATATCAGGACCCACTTCAGTGGGAGGAAATGTCGGCTACACCCACAACCCGTCAGGTAATAATACAATACAAAATGTAATACAATTCACTAAATATCACTTTAAGGTGTATCGGTTAATGCCCAAGCAGTTAAAACTCCCAGTTTCGGCACCAATGTGCAAGTAGGTGTCAACAAGAACATAATCAATCAGGGCGGTGTGGAGTTGAACGCTTTTGCAGGCGGAAGCCAGAATTTTGGAGGGCCGTGGGGTAACACTAAACCAGAAGGACATGTTGGAGTAAACTTCCAGTACAGACCACCACCACCACCTGCACCGGCCCCAAGAAAAAATTGTAGAATTTTTGCAGGTTATCACCGTTGTGACTAATTTATATTTTTTTGAATATTTATTTATATTTGCTGTTTTTTAGTATTGCATATTAATTCATACCTATTTCGTTTTAAAAACAGTTTTTTTTTTGTATTATTATAGTAAAATATACTTCCAACACTTCTAACACTTCCAAATTATATAGCATTGCATATTTGTAGATTTACCATCTGACCTGTGTTAATTAGTTTTAAGTTTTGTCACATGTATGTTTATTTATGTTGTTTTAATAAAATTTCAAAAATTAAAAATGAATCTTTAAATATATTTTTGACTCCCTCCCTTCTTGTTTGTTATATGAAGTTACAAAATGGACCACCCAGTGACGTCACAAATTCTCTATATATTATACAGGGGGTCCCGAAAATAGTGCACAATACTTTACAAGAGGTTATTAGGAGCAAAAGGAGAACAAAACTGTATATAAACATAGATACCTACAGCCTCTGAAACGGTTTTTATAAAAAATATATTTTTGGAAAACGTATACGTATACATATATGTATTTTTTTATAAATATATTAAATTAATAAATATATTAAATTGAAAAATAAAATGGACATTTTATTCAAATATTTTATCGATTTTTAACAAAAGTAGGTACCTTTTTTAAGTAAAAAAAATTTAACACAAAAAATTTAGGGCTAAAAATACTTGGTTTAGAACACTTACAAATAAAAATTTTAAATTTTGTTTTTAAATTCAACATAAAAAGTTAAGCAAATTTCAATATTTTATTTTAAACGGTTTCGAAAATAATAATCAAAAATGAATAATTTCTTCCTTTTTTGTCTTTACAAACACCAGAGTATTGCACACTATTTTCGGGAAACCCTGTATAGTCCGCGCGAATATTTGTCTAACGTGACGTCAATATCCCTAGTTAAATTTTGACTTATCAATTTTTATTGATTATTTATTTATTTAATACATTGATATATTTTTCAATAGGCTAACCAAATAGCTTGTCTAGGTTTTAATTTATATAGATGTAATTATACTATACCTAGGAACTAGATAGTAAAAACTGGAGTGTAAAGAATAAGGAAAGATTAAAAATGTTCAATACATATGCTATTATTTTTTTTAAATTATAATTTTGTTTTACGTTTTAGTTTGTACTTTGCCTCTTCGGGAATTAACTTTTTATTTTATTTGACTTCTTTTTAATTTGTTTGGTCCCAAGTTAGGACTCCTGACCAGGTTTTAAGTAGGTACTGAACTTTATTTACTGATAAATTATTTTTATATTATAGTATATGCTTCAAACAAGGATTAAAGGTATGAAAAACTTTCTCGTTACTGGACGTAAGATAGACTAAATAGTAAATAAACCTACTAAAAATTAATGACATCACGTCATTAAAGCAATTAAACATAAAAACCTGCATAAATACAAAATGAATCATAAACGTATAAACAAAAGAACCTATTTAGGTAAGCGCGTGTATTTCTTAACGGATTTATTTATAGCTTTTATCAGAATTTAAGATAATGAAACATTCGCCAAGCAAGGGACTTTTTGGGCCCAGTTATTCCCCGTTAAGAAATGAGGAATATAAATACCTGATCTTGTTGGACGACAGCATCAGTCGAGTTTACCGTTGATAGAAAACCAGACAAAATGAAATTGTTTTTAGTATTTATTGCCACCTTTGTGGTAGCTGCGTATGGTCACGAAATTGTCAGTAGTGATGATGGAGAATTATTTTATTTGGTACCAGTACACAGAGTAAGAAGGTAAGAAAAATATTTTTTGTTTTAATATTACTACTTCTAACTAAACATGTATTTTTAATCACAGGCAAACTACCTTTGACATCAATAAAAACGGACCTGGTACCAGGGTTACCCTTGGGCACAAGGGTACCATATATGAAAACCCAAACCATAAAGTAACAGGCGGTGCATTTGCATCTCAACAATTTAGACCTACTGGACCATTGACAGCTGGTGGCAATCTTGGTTATCAACATAAACCATCAGGTAATAACATTATTACAATATTTATTTTGAATTTTTGATGAAAAAAGCTTTAACAATTTGTACTGTAAAAATATCAAAATTGCGAAGAACTGAACCACCAACTGCAACTCAAAATAAGACAATTTTGCATTTTTAGTATCTACCAACATTTTTTCTTTCAGGTTCTGGATTAAATGTGGGTGCTGATAATACACGCGGCTTTGGAACCAATGTAAACGCTCAGGGTAACTTGAATTTGTTGAGGAGCCATAACGGAAATACTCGTTTGGACGCCACTGGTGGTTATAGTCGCCATTTTGGAGGTGTAGGAGGCACCGGAAGACCCAACTATAATGCTGGATTGAACTTTAACCACAGATTTTAAGTTATACAAGATGTATTTATTAAGGCGTGATGCCATGTGATATTTATTTAATAAACTAAAAAATGCATTCGTGATTTTTTTATTAGTTAATACCATTTTTATTATTATTCATGCTCAAAAATTTTGTCTTTCAAGGATAATATCTTCAGGTGCCTAGTTGAGGTAAAAATTGTAAAAATTATGAAAAATATACTAAATGTAAAGTACCTATAAGGAAAACAACAAAATTATTTTTGTTCCAAAATAATTTGTTACAAAGAGAAAATTATATATTATCTGTGGATTGTTGTAAACTTAAATTACGTAGCGTGGTACTAATTAATAACCATTTTATTTAATCATAACATGTGCCGTATTTAATATTTAGTAAATTGTTTAAATTGCGTGTAGACATGCATGCAATGTAATAAAATTAAAGGCAACTACCAAAATAAGTCATTTTTAGGTTTGAATAATGTTCTAAACAATGAAACAATTTTTACTTATATTAGTTATAGTTGTATTAGTACCATGTGTAAAAAATGCAAATATTTTAACTTTGTTGCCATTGGCAGGTAAAAGTCATCATGTTATGTTTGAGAGAATTGTTAGAGGATTGGCAAATAAGGGACATCAAGTTGATTTTGTGAACCATTTTCCTCTTAAAAATCCACCACCAGGGTAAGACTTTATTTATGCACACAATATCCTAAAAAACTAAATTCATTTGCAGTTATAATGATATGAGCCTAAAAGGCACACTCAAGATATTTGTCAACAACTTAACCATAAACGAAGTCCAATTTAAGACTCACCTGGACACAATGGACTTCATGCTGACAGCTGTTGGTGTGAAAACATGCGAAACACTTTTTCAAAGCGACGTGCTTAAAAATTTGAGAAACACAACTAAAAAATACGATTTAATAATCACAGAAGTTTTTACTGTGGACTGTATGATAGGATTCGCCCATATTTTTAAAGTGCCCGTTATATCCCTAACAACCAGCGTGAATTTACCATGGGGGTCGGATAGGTTTGGACTTCCAGATAATCCTTCCTACATCCCGAATTATTTTATGGATTATTCACCCAAAATGACTTTGTATGAACGATTTTGGAACACGGTCTATCTTATCATATCAAAACTTAAGTAAGGAAGTTTTAAATGATGAAACATTTTACTGTATAATAATTTTAGACATTATAATGGTAATATTGAAATATACCAAGCTTCTAAGGATTTCTTTGGTGAAGATTTGCCAAGTTTGAATGATTTAATTTATAATACAACATTGCTGTTTGTTAACAGCCATTTTAGTTCGAACCAAGCCAGACCAACCGTTCCAGGTTTTATTGAAATCGGTGGAGTACACATAAACGACCCCAAACCACTTGACCAGGTAACACATTATTATTATTTTCTGCTATCAATTTATGTCTTTTTTTATATCTCCATCAAATGTAAGAATAACGGTTCTTCTACTTTAGAAAGTTTATTAATATTTTTTTAAATGTGTTTTAAAGCACTTTCAAGAACTCCTCAAAACGGAGTTGGATGGTATAATATATCTATCGATGGGTTCCATGATAAAAACAGAATCATTTCCAATAGAAAAAATACAGGCTATGTTTGATGTCTTCGCTGAATTACCTTACAAGGTTATATGGAAAGCTGACGTGGATCAGTTTCCGAAAGGAGTTCAATTTGCTAAAAATATACACTTTAAAAAATGGATGCCTCAGTTGGATATCCTATGTAATTAAATGTCTATTAATTAACTTTTTAAACAACAAAATTGTTCTTTAGGTTCTTCAAAAGTGAACTTGTTTGTGAGCCATGGAGGATTGATGGGTTCTCAAGAAGCAGTATATTGCGGAGTACCCAGATTGGGTATACCCTTATTTGCAGACCAAGAGTTGAACATCAGGCAGGCGGAAAAGATGGGGCAGGCAATCAAAGTTGACTACAATGAAATTTCCAAACAAAAAATCCTTAATGCAGCTAAGGAATTATTGTACAACCAAAAGTAATTAGAATATTACCAAAAAATATTAAACTACTAAAATGGTGTATTTTAGATATCAACAAAATGCCAAAAAATTCTCAGTACTCTTTAAAGACAGACCAATGTCTGCTTTGGATACGGCTATATATTGGACAGAATACGTCATAAGGCATAAAGGCGCGCCTCATTTGAAAAGTCAGGCAACTGAATTGTCTTGGTATCAGTATTTCTTGCTGGACGTAGCTTTAATCTTCTTAAGTATATTGTTTTTCACGATATATGTTCTAGTGATGTTTGCTAAGTTGTTACTTTTATTGGTAGGATCAAAACCAAAGAATAAAAAAGACTAAATATTATCATATAGGTAGTAATAAATAATAAATTTAAAGTTTTGTAAAGTAATTGTTTTGTTTTTATCATACCCGAATATTATCAAATCATAAGTATAAATATTAATTAATTTTTTTATCAAATTAAAAACTTACTTTTAAGCACTCACTTTTATTTATTGATAACATCAGTTTCATTTTAATAAGGTTAAATGAAACGTAATTTATTAAATTTAAAGATAAAAAATATTAATTGTGTTAATGGTATATAAAATGAAACTACTGGTGGTGTTTTTGGTTACATTATTAACAAAATATGCGGAAAATGCGAATATTTTAGTGTTACAGATTTTGACCACTAAAAGTCATCATGTTATGTTTGAGAGAATTGTAAGAGGACTAGCAGAAAGAGGACATCAAGTTGATTTTGTGAATCATTTTCCTCTAAAAGATCCACCACCAGGGTAAGTTACTACCCAACATGTATAGATAAGACAAAAATAAATGTTTTTTTTGTAGCTATAACGATATAAGCCTAAAGGGCACCCTTGAAACATTCGTCAACAACTTAACAGTGGATGCTGCACAATTTACCACTCATAAAGATGCATTGGACTTCATACTAAACGAAGTTGGTATCAAACCATGCAAAACAGCGTTCCAAAATGACAAAGTAAAAAATCTCAGAAACACTACCAAAATATACGACTTGATAATAACGGAAATTTTCTCCAACGATTGCATGCTTGGTTTTGCCCATCTTTTTGATGTTCCTGTTATATCCATAACATCCAGTGTGAATTTACCATGGGGATCAGATAGGTTTGGACTACCAGATAACCCATCGTATATACCGAATTATTTTATGGAATATTCTCCAAAAATGACTTTGTCTGAACGATTTTGGAATACAGTTTATCTGGCAGTATCCAAAATAATGTAATATAATTAGGTGTATTTAATTTTGTCTTCCAACACACCTAATATTTTAGGCATTACAAGAGTAACATTGATGTATATGAAACTTCAAAGGATTTTTTTGGTCCCGATTTACCCAGCATAAACGATTTAACTTACAGGACAGCTTTATTGTTTGTTAATAGTCATTTTAGTGCTAACCAAGCTAGGCCTACCGTGCCAGGATTTATTGAAATTGGTGGAGTACACATTAATGATCCAAAACCGCTTGACGAGGTATCACATTTATTAAAGCCATAATATTAAAAAAATTAAATGCAATCTTTTAAGCATTTTCAAAAACTTTTGGAAACAAACACAGAAGGCATCATATATTTATCAATGGGTTCCATGATAAAAACAGAATCTTTTTCCATACAAAAAATCCAGGGAATGTTTGATGCCTTCGCGGAATTACCTTACAAGGTTATATGGAAAGCAGACGTAGATCAGTTCCCCAAAGAAGTTAAATTTGTCAAAAACATACACTTCGTAAAATGGATGCCCCAATTGGATATCCTATGTAGTTAAATATTTTTGAATAATCTTTTTATGTAAAAATTTTTTATTTTTTAGGTTCCTCGAATATGAAGTTGTTTGTGAGCCACGGAGGGTTAATGGGTTCTCAAGAGGCAGTCCATTGCGGAGTACCCATACTAGGTATACCACTATTTGCAGACCAAGAATTAAACATTCGACAGGCAGAAAGAATGGGACAAGCAATCAAAGTTGACTACAATGAAATTTCCAAAGAAAAAATCCTTAATGCAGCTAAGGAATTATTGTACAACCAAAAGTAATTATAATATTACGAAAAAATATTAAACTACTAAAATGATGTATTTTAGATATCAGCAAAATGCCAAAACATTCTCAGTACTCTTTAAAGACAGGCCAATGTCTGCTTTGGATACGGCTATATATTGGACAGAATACGTCATAAGGCATAAAGGCGCGCCTCATTTGAAAAGTCAGGCAACTGAATTGTCTTGGTATCAGTATTACTTGCTGGACGTTATGTTGATTTTGTTATCCCTACTACTTTTGACTGTCTACATTTGTTTTGTGTTTATCAAATTATTAGTTAGATTATATTATACGAAACCCAAAGATAAAACGGAGTAAATGGGTATTGAGTTATAAATGTTAATTATTTAATAATAAACAATTAATTTAAAAATAAATAATTTTTTAAAACCATTTAATAATAACACAGGCCGACAAAAACTAGAAACCAGACCAAAAAAAAATTCTGAAGCGATTAATCCAAATTGCTAACTAATCGCATCAAAAATTTCAAGCAGAAAGTAAATAAACGCGATTTTAGGTCAGTAAAATTGTTTAGAGATAAGTTTATTAGACAAGTGGAATTAATTTTCTTATTAAATGAAAAACATACTTTAAAGCAATCACTTTTAGCTATTGATAACAGCAGTTTCATGTGAATAAGGTTAAATGAAATACGTATTTATGAAATTTAAACAGAAACAATATTTATTGTGTAATTGATATATAAAATGAAACTACTGGTAGTGTTTTTGGTTACATTATTAACAAAATATGTGGAAAACGCGAATATTTTAGTGTTGCAGCCTGTGGCCGGTAAAAGTCATCATGTTATGTTTGAGAGAATTGTAAGAGGACTAGCGAAAAGAGGACATCAAGTTGATTTTGTAAATCATTTTCCTCTAAAAGATCCACCACCAGGGTAAGGTACTATCCAACATGTATAGAAAAGAAAAATATATTTTTTGTAGTTATAACGATATAAGCCTAAAGGGCACCATTAAAATATTCCTCAACAACTTAACAGTGGATGCTGTACAATTTACCTCTCATTTTGATACATTGGACTTCATACTAAACGAAGTTGGTATCAAACCATGCAAAACAGCGTTCCAAAATGACAAAGTAAAAAACCTTAGAAACACTACCAAAATATACGACTTGATAATAACGGAAATTTTCTCTAACGATTGCATGCTTGGTTTTGCCCATCTTTTTGATGTCCCTGTTATATCCATAACCTCCAGTGTAAATTTACCATGGGGATCAGATAGGTTTGGACTACCAGATAACCCATCGTATATACCAAATTATTTTATGGAATACTCTCCCAAAATGACTTTGTCTGAACGATTTTGGAATACAGTTTATCTGGCAGTATCCAAAATAATGTAATATAATTAGATTTATATATATTTTTTTTTTCAACAAACTTAATATTTTAGGCATTACAAGAGTAACATTGATGTATATGAAGCTTCAAAGGATTTTTTTGGTCCCGATCTACCCAGCTTAAACGACTTGACTTACAGGACAGCTTTAGTGTTTGTTAATAGTCATTTTAGTGCTAACCAAGCTAGGCCTACCGTGCCAGGATTTATTGAAATTGGTGGAGTACACATTAATGATCCAAAACCGCTTGATGAGGTAACACATTTATTAAAGCCATAATATTATATTTTCTTAAATGTAATTTTTAAGTATTTTCAAAAACTTTTGGAAACAGACACAGAAGGCATCATATATTTATCAATGGGTTCCATGATAAAAACAGAATCTTTTTCAATACAAAAAATCCAGGGAATGTTTGATGCCTTCGCGGAATTACCTTACAAGGTTATATGGAAAGCAGACGTAGATCAGTTCCCCAAAGAAGTTAAATTTGCCAAAAACATACACTTCGTAAAATGGATGCCCCAATTGGATATACTATGTAATTAAATATTTTTGAATAATCTTTTTATGTAAAAAAATATTATTGTTTAGGTTCCTCGAATGTGAAGTTGTTTGTGAGCCACGGAGGGTTAATGGGTTCTCAAGAGGCAGTCCATTGCGGAGTACCCATACTAGGTATACCAATATTTGCAGACCAAGAATTAAACATTCGACAGGCAGAAAGGATGGGACAAGCAATCAAAGTTGACTACAATGAAATTTCCAAAGAAAAAATCCTTAATGCAGCTAAGGAATTATTGTACAACCAAAAGTAATTAGAATATTACCAAAAAATATTAAACTACTAAAATGATGTATTTTAGATATCAACAAAATGCCAAAAAATTCTCAGTACTCTTTAAAGACAGACCAATGTCTGCTTTGGATACGGCTATATATTGGACAGAATACGTCATAAGGCATAAAGGCGCGCCTCATTTGAAAAGTCAGGCAACTGAATTGTCTTGGTATCAGTATTTCTTGCTGGACGTAGCTTTAATCTTCTTAAGTATATTGTTTTTCACGATATATGTTCTAGTGATGTTTGCTAAGTTGATACTTTTATTGTTAGGATCAAAACCAAAGAATAAAAAAGACTAAATATTATCATATAAGTAGTAATAAATAATAAATTTGAAGTTAGAAAATTGTTTTGTTTTTATCATACCCGACTATTATCAAATGATAAGTATAAATATTAATCAATTTTCTTATCAAATTAAAAACATACTTTTATTTATTGATTACATCAGTTTCATTTTAATAAGGTTAAATGAAAGAGGAATTTATTAAATTTAAACATAAAAAATATTAATTGTGTTAAGGGTTTATAAAATGAAACTACTGGTGGTGTTTTTGGTTACCTTATTAACAAAATATGCGGAAAATGCGAATATTTTAGTGTTACAGATTTTGACCACTAAAAGTCATCATGTTATGTTTGAGAGAATTATAAGAGGACTAGCAGAAAGAGGACATCAAGTTGATTTTGTGAATCATTTTCCTCTAAAAGATCCACCACCAGGGTAAGTTACTACCCAACATGTATAGATAAGACAAATATAAATGTTTTTTTTTGTAGCTATAACGATATAAGCCTAAAGGGCACCCTTGAAGTATACGTCAACAACTTAACAGTGAATGCGGTACAATTTAAAACTCATTTTGATACATTGGACTTTTGGCTAAACGAACTTGGTATCAAACCATGCAAAGCAGCGTTTCAAAATGACAAAGTAAAAAATCTCAGAAACACTACCAAAATATACGACTTGATAATAACGGAAATCTTTTCTAACGATTGCATGCTTGGTTTTGCCCATCTTTTTGATGTTCCTGTTATATCCATAACCACCAGTGTGAATTTACCATGGGGATCAGATAGGTTTGGACTACCAGATAACCCATCGTATATACCGAATTATTTTATGGAATACTCTCCCAAAATGACTTTGTCTGAACGATTTTGGAATACAGTTTATCTGGCAGTATCCAAAATAATGTAATATAATAAGGTGTATATAATTTTTTATTCCAACACACCTAATATTTTAGGCATTACAAGAGTAACATTGATGTATATGAAGCTTCAAAGGATTTTTTTGGTCCCGATCTACCCAGCATAAACGATTTAACTTACAGGACAGCTTTATTGTTTGTTAATAGTCATTTTAGTGCTAACCAAGCTAGGCCTACCGTGCCAGGATTTATTGAAATTGGTGGAGTACACATTAATGATCCAAAACCACTTGATGAGGTAACACATTTATTAAAGCCATAATATTATATTTTTTTAAATGTAATTTTTAAGTATTTTCAAAAACTTTTGGAAACAGACACAGAAGGCATAATATATTTATCAATGGGTTCCATGATGAAAACAGAATCATTTCCAATGGAAAAAATACAGGGTATGTTTGATGCCTTCGCTGAATTACCTTACAAGGTTATATGGAAAGCAGACGTAGATCAGTTCCCCAAAGAAGTTAAATTTGCCAAAAACATACACTTCGTAAAATGGATGCCCCAATTGGATATACTATGTAATTAAATATTTTTGAATAATCGTTTTAATACAAGAATATTAATGTTTAGGTTCCTCGAATGTAAAGTTGTTTGTGAGCCACGGAGGGTTAATGGGTTCTCAAGAGGCAGTCCATTGCGGAGTACCCATACTAGGTATACCACTATTTGCAGACCAAGAATTAAACATTCAACAGGCAGAAAAGGTGGGGCAAGCTATCAAAGTTGACTACAATGAAATTTCCAAAGAAAAAATCCTTAATGCAGCTAAGGAATTATTGTACAACCAAAAGTAATTAGAATATTACCAAAAAATATTAAACTACTAAAATGGTGTATTTTAGATATCAACAAAATGCCAAAAAATTCTCAGTACTCTTTAAAGACAGACCAATGTCTGCTTTGGATACGGCTATATATTGGACAGAATACGTCATAAGGCATAAAGGCGCGCCTCATTTGAAAAGTCAGGCAACTGAATTGTCTTGGTATCAGTATTACTTGCTGGACGTAGCTTTAATCTTCTTAAGTATACTGTTTATCACGATATATGTTCTAGTGATGTTTGCTAAGTTGTTACTTATATTGGTAGCATCAAAACCAAAGAATAAAAAAGACTAACTATTATCATATAGCTAGTAATAAATATTAAATTGTTTTGTTTTTATTTTACCCGATTTAATTAAAGTAAATAAAAGAAAAAATACTATATATTAATTTTCATATTACATATTTTGGTATAGCCGATTTAAAACTAATTTTTATATTCGCTAAAAATCTAACTTTTTTGCACTTGAATATATAATGAAAAATTTTAGTAATTTCCGATATTTTCTGAAGTCATCTAAAAACTGATATAAATAACGTGCTAACAATCTTAAGATTTCGAAGAGATCGTTTGTTTCAATTTAATAAATTGGTTTGTCATGTTTAGACTTTGGATTCGATATGAAACTTAGGATATAATAAAGATATATTGTTTCGTGTTAATATGAACTTAAACCCTGTTGTCAATTTTTAAGGAAGAAAATTCGATTTTACAGAAAAATTTGGCAAACTGACACTGACATTTTGAAAAAATATAAATATAAACTTGATACATAACACCATAGCATTATTGCAATTTAAGAAGATATATGTAAGTTCTGGATATTAAAAACGAAAAAAGTTAAATATCGGTATAATGAAATTCTCCACATGACAAATGAATTCGGTGAAATTTAATATAAATTCAAATGATTTCAGTAAAAATATATTATACCTAAATTTAATTAAACCACTGCAATTTATTCAACATTAAATTTTTATTCAAACACAACTAATTACTGATTTAATAACGTTATACTGAATCTACATCACGTACTTTGGATTGAACAAATAACAATATTAATTCATTAAACTCGTTTTTATACATAAACAGTACGTTTTGCGTTCGCATAGGGGATGTTTTAAACATGATCGACAGTAAAGGCGAAATTGAATTATGTGATCAATTCCAGATTTAATCCCAATACAAATTGATGATTTAAGTTTAATAAACAATTTAATTTAATCATCATTAAAGTTTGGATGTGGATTTATTTATTTTTTCATATTAAAATTGGGTACCTTTGCGGTCATTGACCTTTTGTCATTTTATTTGAAGAGCTACAAGGTCGGTTAAATTAGAGAAAAGTTGCGTAATTCCAAGCCTATAGGCTTAATATATTAAAATAAAATTTATGAATTGAAAAAAACAACAGCGGTTTTCAAAATATTTTAAAAAAACTAAAACGCTTTAAAAACTAAAAATTTTGAAAACAATGAGTTTTATATACACTTTAATATACATTTTCATCTATCTATAGGTTATAACCATGTGAGATATTGTGGGCGGCCATAGAAAAAACAAAAGATCTAGTAGGCAAATCAAAGTAGCTGGATTATTTTATATAAACATATTAAAATTGGTTAAATCAAGTGATACCCAAAAGTCCAGCTTCTTCTTTTGGTATAGTCTTTAGCAAATATTTAAAAACTTCAAAACTGAATATTACAGGTCTTGCTCAATTTTTTCTATGATTAGTCAACAAAAATCAATGTTCATCCTGAACCCATCCAAAGAATAATCCTTATCATTATCTACATATAATCCCCTTAATTCTTAAAACCAACCTGTCGCTATTTTTGAAAAGGATACGTCTATGGGAGAAGGCATCGGCCTCGCACGCCCCTGTAAACAGCAGATAAAAAATCGAGGTGACTTCTGATCAATCGGCATCGCACCCTCCTTTGCAATTCCTTGGCAGCGTGCACCGTAAAGTAAAAGTCGGGATTATGTCCCTAGTTTTATTTTTCGATATGTGTGTGTGTGGTGGCACCCCTGCAGGCAAGTTTTCTCTCCGTCTTGCAAAGTGTATTAAAATCGAAGACTGATCGCATGCTGCATATTTTCCCGTAATTCAAGACAAATTGTCTGGTGCGGGACCGAGTGACAATTTCTTTTCCTAGATTGTACGAGGTAACCTATAATAATTGTATTTTTCATGATTTATATATATGGTTGTAAAAATAGTATATTACAGACCTAGGCGGTAAAGTGACATTTTTCAGGCTAAGAAAATATTAAAAATATTCCCCAATACCAAAACAAAACACAAAGTGCCTAAAGTACTTTTCGCCAACGATGTTGGCATCTTCAGAAACGAAGTGTAACACACTACAATTTATATTATTGGATCTATAATTTATATTATCAGAATTAAAATTAAATAAAAAAATATATGGATATACAATGCATTTGTGCTTTTATTGCATGCACGCCACTGGTTAGGTCCAACCGACATGATGACATTTTAGCTTTATATCTAGATTGAGTAAAATAATAAACTAGCATTAATATAAATACTTTCTATATAGAATATAAAAAATATTGTACGGTTAAAAAAAGTACTTTTTTACATTCCCTCGTATATATGTTGAGTTAAACCAACGTAGATAAGTTGAAGGGTGCCTTTATTGCTTTCCCGTTTTGTCAACGAAATGTGTACGTTTATTATATTTTTTGGGTCACAATTTCACAATATGTTAGACATGTAGCAAACGTAAACATAAAATATTACACTCTTATTGGTTATCCACAAATTATTTTTGAACACAAATATTGTAACGTCTGGCAACGCTGTTCAAGAACAGCAACACTAATTTGATAAATCAAATTGCATATTCAACATTAATATTCTAAAAAAACAAACAATAACAATATTGTCTTGAATTTCGTTTTAAGATTAAATTTTGAATTATTTTTTTTTTATTATTTTCGGTTATTAATAACATTTAAGTTATCAACAATTTTACATGGAAATTGACTGCTAAATGTTCGAGATACAAATTGCTTTTGACGAGAATTATTAGTGGCTGCTTTTTCGCTATTTTAATTAGTCATTTTTGACTAATCCATTTTTACACATTATAATTTAAGATTGTTTTTTATAAATTGACGGCGCTACTGTATGTCGGAGGGAAACCTGAAATATCTTGTTTTATCTTTTGCGGTTGAAAATCGAATTATCCTGAAATTCTATTTCGCAAATTTTCCCCTGTGTCGCCTTGTGCAAGGAAAATTCACGTAACATTATATCGTCGTATGGATGTCACTTTTCCTTTGTACATAATATAAATAGATTGTATTATCTACATTTTTGCGTGTGTACCCTCAGGTTCATGAAATGAAGTGAGTTGGTAATCAATATGCCACCTACCTGTTATGTATTTCGTTGTCGGTTAGTAGATTATAAGGAGGTGGCGTTGTGCACAGCTCACTCAGCATGTTATCCAAATCTGTTGCCAAGGATGACAGCAGCTGGAAAAAAGAATTTTATGAAGAAAAATTCACAGAATAATGATTGTAATCAATTTATGTCAAGGAGTTAAATTAAGATAGATTTTAATAAATTTTTTTGAAATTTTAAATACATTTAATCGAATTAATTATTAATTCTAACAACCGGAAATCGTTTTTTTAAACGACCGATCGATTGAACTAACCGTTTCCGTTGAAACGATATTCAACACTTGTATCCATGCGATCTGATTGATTTTTACTAATGGACTATTCTAATTGCCCAGTCGGTTGAAGTCCTCTAAATTAACAACATGTTTCGAATTTAGTTAGAATTAAAAAAATGCCGCTGCAGATATACCACGGCTTCGGAAAAGCGTTTAAAAAACTCCTGTGTAACACCGAGTTGCATGGTCTTAAGTACATCGTCGATGAGAAAAGAAACTCATTTGAAAGGTAAGAAATGTTTAAAAAATATATACAGGGTGTACCACAAGTACGGACCCCAAGAAATTCCAGAAAATTGTTAAAAAATCTTTTTAAATATTGAAAATATATTTTATCGGCACATTTTAAAGGGATAGATTTTTTACACATAACAATTTGACATTTGACATTATTCACCATTCCCAAGTTGGTTATATTGTTCTATAGATGTCGCTCTATACAAATATTTATTTCGCAAGCTGGCTCGTGCCTAAACTAAATTCGTTTATCAAACAATATACAATTAAGACATCTTTTAAACATTTTAATAACATTTATTAAAATTATTATTATTATATTTAACATAATACTATATTTCCAGGGTGTTGTGGTTTTTTATTGAAATCGGAGTTCTTCTAGTCACTTTTTATTTAACTTTAACATATTGGTATGGATTTATGGAAAATCCTACACTGACAGCTAGAATAAGTTCGTATTATCCAGTCGAATACGTTCCTTTTCCAGCTATATCAATTTGCAATTTAAACAAAATAAGCAAAAGCAAATTAAGCAAGCTTGGAGATTTTTTGTAAATATGCCTTAATGAGTTACCTACTTATAAAGTAAATTTGTTAATTTTATAGGATAAGCCAAAATGTTCCATCCAATATTACCTCGGAATACATGCATTTACTTGGCGTGCTATACGAATACAGCCTATCGAGATCGGACGACTTATTCCCATTTCAAACCCTACTGGAGAAATACCAAAGTGAAGTAAACAACAAGTCTAGGTTCAACACTGAAGAGTTTTTACATTCCGTAGATTAAAACACAAATTTTATATTTAAACATTTCTTTGACAATTATTTTAGTTGGTCACGCCATGCCATGCACTGTTAAAATTCTGCAGATGGAGCGATGAAGATGTTCCCTGTAATACTTTGTTTACCATGAGGCTCACTTTTGAAGGCCATTGTTGCACCTTTAACTATTTGAAGAATAGTAGTGCGTCCGAAAGGTAGGTTTTTTATTACTGCATATGAAAATTTATAATATTTTTATTTAAGCGTTTATAATAATGAATTTGCCAGAAATACCCCTCAATACCAAGCATCGGGAGTACACAAAGGTTTGTCCGTTACCATTAACAACAATCCCAGCGATTATTTTTTCACAGTGCTAGCTGATATTGGTATAAATGTAAGAATTTTAGGATACATTTTTTTTTGTTTAAATGACATTTTAGGTTCACATTTTTCACTCTGAAGATTATCCAGACAAAACCAGCGGTAGTTTGACCGAAGTTTTGGTGCCCATGGGCTACGAAGCGTTCATTGAAATCGACCCAACGCAAATTATTGCAGATAGAAGTATTTCCCAGTTTTCATTTGAAAAGGTTGGTC